TCAATCTTATTCTGTATTCATTTTTGACTATGTCATCTTGCTTATAAAAAGCATGAACAATTGATTGACCTGGCTTCATCAAACAATCAGCCCTTTTTAATGCATTGTTGTGAAAGCTATTCACCAATCCCACGTGCTCACGTAAACTCTGAGGATTTTTCCAAGTATCAAAACCTTTCGTCACAAACGCATCACTTCCACCTTTATTTTCTGTGTAATTTCTAAACAAGTAGCAAAACAAACAATAAGCTTTGTCTTTTTTCACACTGTATTCCAACCAACTGCCATAAAGATCAAACCATTCTGGATTGAATCGTCTCAATTTTTTTCCTGATAGTGTTTTAGGAAAATCATGCCCGCGAGGTTGACACGGACCTCTAATCAGATATTTGCGTCTTACCTCATCTCTTTCATCAGGATGATAGTCCAAAAATTTTTTCCTATCTGCAGGATCTGAATGCATATCATCCGAATTTTCTTCAATCGTTGGTTCAAACTTTCGTTTGAAATATCTATCAATTGTTACCTAATAAAAATAGTTATATGAACATATAAGAAACCAGATTTTGAGTAGAAATTGGTCTACGAACGAATTATCGAATTACACAAAAACGAACATGTATAACGAATAATTTTATAAAACTAAACAGATTAATTTAGACATGGGGACTCGAAGACTGAGAAGAAGCCAAAAAGGTAAACGATAAAAGTCGACGAAAGAAAAGGTCAATGTTTCAACTCTCAATGATGTCTTTGATCCCGTCGTTTATTCTTTCTTCTATTAGGGCTGAGGCAAATTTTTTATGGGCTTTTCTGTTTAACTATTTTGGGCTGAAATACTATTTTCGTTTTAATTGAATTGGTTTGGACTGAAAAATATTTTTGGACGGTTGCAACAGATATTTAAGTAAATGAATAAAATATGTAATTATGTAATGAAAATATTTTTTTTTCCAAACAAGAGTGTCGGGTCGGGCACGTGCCCACCTCCCTCTAGATGTGGGTCCGCCCCTGGTGGTATACCATTTTCAGTGTTAGAAGTTAAGATAGCGGTATACAAATTTTCTTAAGTATGGTATAAATAGTACATGAATTGAATATGATTATCTCTATAATTAGTAAGTGAAGAGATGGAACCGAAAAAAAAAAACCTAAAAGGGTTATAATAACATATTAAAAGAAAGAAGTAATGTGTGGACCACATCTCTAGTTTTGTGAAGGGGGGAAATCAAAACTAGACTGTGGGTGGCCCTCTTAAGTTAAATAAAATTGAAAGGCCTTAAGCTCTTCCACTCATATGCAAAGGCCCGGTCGGGTGTCTAGGCATCTTTAGTAGGCATGGAGAAATAAACCGAACTGAATGTACCGAATCGAAACCGAAATGAAAAATCGAACCGAACCGATCCAAAATTTTGAAAATAATCGAATGGATACTAAATACTATAACCGAAAAAACCGTAACCGAATCAGTATCGAACCGATATATTTCGGATAACCGAAAATACCCGAAATACAATTATATTTTTAAAAATATTAGTTATTTATAGACCAAATTATCAAAAATACTTGAAAAATATATAAAATAGTAAAAATACTCGAAAATATCTAAAAATACCCAAAAATAACCTAAATATCCGAAAATATCCAAACCAAATAACCGAATGGATACTAAATATTAAAACCGAAAGAACCGGAACCAAACCAAAATTTCAAAATACCCGAATGGATATTAAATTTTAGAACCGAAAGAACCGAAACCGAATAAAACTGAACCGATAACCGATCGGATAACCGAACGCCCAGGCCTAATCTTTAAGATGTTATATATGTGTTTATGGAGTACATATATGATATATGTTGAACTCAGGTTTAAAAGTAAAAGTAAATGGGAAACTGACTAAACCCGTATTTGCTTCAAATTTGGAACATGCACTTATTTACTTCTACCATCTTTATAATAAAAAATTTTAAAATGGACCATGTACTTATTTATTATTAGCATCTGGGTGTGGGAGTGATGTTCTTAATTAGCATATCTTTCTAAAAGCTCCATTAAACGTGTGCTAACATAATTAAGGGCCAAGAAGACACGAAACTTTTAGGGCTCTTAAGTCAATTACAGAAAGAAGAAAATTTCTTGGATCCCTTTAATAAGAAAAATGTTTTGAAATTATGTATGGACATAAAACTGAGGCCCATCTAGCCTTAATATCATGGGCTCTAGTGCTCTACTAATCGGTTTCCAAAATTTATCCTTCCAAGTTCCAACACTAATTCGATAGTAGGAATTAGGAAACTTGAGACAGCACAATTGTTTTTAAAAGGATGTTGGTAACGATAGTAGTGGTAATAAATTAGTGACTTTTGACAGATATATCAAGTAGAAAAGTGGAATAGCGAATAATCTAATGAACAAATAATTGAAATAGCGGTACTCAGTGCCGGTCCGGTGAAATCCGGGGCCAAATATGAAAAAAAAAAATTAGGGTTTTTTTTTTAAAGTAGAAACTGCTAAAAAAAATTTTTTTGCTAATTATGGGGCATTTATAATTTTTATTTAACAATTTTTCTTAAATTTTAAAGATTTTTTGCTAATTATGAGGCCTTTTTGCTAATTGTGAAGTCTTTTTTTGTTAATTTTTGAGGCATCTTTTACTATTTTGAAGCCTTTTTTGAGGCCTCTTTTACTAATTTTGAAGCCTATTTCATAATTTTAGGGCCTCCAAAAAAAAAAAAAAAAATTCTTCACAAAATGGGCCTCGGAAATTTGAGGCCCAATACAAATGATTCACCAAAATTGGTGAAGGGCCGGCCTGGCGGTACTTGATGAATGTTTTTGCTGAATACTCAAATGCTAAAAAAACTTGTTTTAAAAGACTAATGATGTTTCATTTTTTCAAATTACATTTTAAACCTTTAACAAAAAATAATTATTATATTTTAAGCACGTTGAAAAAATGTAGATGAATCATTTTTAATACGTGAAAAAATGATAACTTGATAAATATTCAGAATGACAAAAATAGTAATCGTGAAAACATAAAAAAAAAAAAAAAGAAAAAAAAAAGTAGTCTGTCATTCATCACCATTTGCTGAGTTGCTCCATGCATCTTATCTTCCATTTCCATTTTGCCCACAATCCAATATTTTCCATTCATTTCTTTTTGTTACTTCCTTTCTTTATTTATTTGTAAGGTGTGATGTATAAGATTCATAGATAAATTTAGTTTCAATCTTTTTTTTTGAATCTTTATTTACTAATGATAATTTCTTTTTAATTAACCAAATTTTCTCTTAATTTTTTTTTGTTATGCTCTAAAATCGTTTCTTAAATATTTAATCCTATTTTCAATCTATAATACTGTCACTGAATTTTCATTTATATATATATATATATATATATATATATATATATATATATATATATATATCCAAACTTTATTTTCGTCAATATGTAATCAAGTTTTATGCGATACAATATGATAAAATTATAAACATAGTTTTATATACATTTTTTTTTATTTTATCAAACACATAGTAGTTATAATGATTCAGTTATACTTTACGAATAATAAACATTTTTATGTAACAATGTTATTACTAGTTTTCTTTATTTTCTTAGCACAAAAAAATATAAAATAAAAATCGAAGAAAAACTCATTTAACATATTGTAACTTTTAAATCATGCTTTACCAAATTTTACTTAATCGATAACGATTTAATTTGTTATATTCATAATATAATGATGAAGCCATACAATAATGGTGACTTAATAAGGTATTGATCATCTTTAATAACTAGACATATCTAGAGCGCAGAGAGCCTACGACCTACTAATAAAGAGATATTGATCATTAACCTAACCCACCAATTTTTACGCACCATAGGATCGAAATCTGTCTTACACTTATCGAGCATACCCAGTACCGGTCCAGATAAATATGAGGCCCCATACAATTTTTTTTTTTTTTTTTGGGTTTTATCGATAATAATTAAAATTTGAGATCAACTCTTAAAAATTCAGAAACATGAGGCCTATTTTTGAAATAATAAATAGATAAAATTTAAAATTTGAGATAAAATCTAAAACTTTCTAAAAACCGAGGCCTACTTATGCAATAAAAAACAAATTTGGGGCCTAATTTTGGTACTAAAAATCTTCAAAATTTTTGAGGCCCAATACCCATGTATCATTAAAATGGGTCGCGGGCCGGGCCTGAGCATACCAAGCACATATGATTGATAGCGTCTCATATCTGAATACTTATTGTTAAGCACTCCCCCATACTACTAAAATCTATACATATAGCCACGGCCTAGCCACAACGTGTCCGTGGCTAAATATAAGTAGCCACGAACTAGCCACAAAATACTTAAAAAAAACTTCCGTGGTTAATTTGTAGCAAATCTGTGGCAAAAATGCCACGAAAAAGCCACTGATTTAATCGTGACAATATACCTACGGACGTAGCCACAAAATATCCGTGTTAAATAGCCACGACCGAAAAACGTGGTAACCTCGTGGCTATCTTTCCTACGAATATGTCCGTGGAAAAACTGTGGCTAATTTCGAATATATTTGTTGTGAAGACAATTCTGATTATGAAAATTTACCGGTTGATGATTCTGATGACGAGTATGTATCAGAAGATGATATAGAAGAGCAGTGTGATGATTCTGATTCCAACTCCGATTAAGTTTTACATTTATATAATTATGTCTAATTGTTAATTGTTGTTGTTTTTAATATATATATATGTCATATTTTATGAATAATAAATCTATTTCCAAAATAAAATTAGAATTGAAAATTTAAAATCTGTATTTAAACTAATAAATTAATAAATTATTTAAACCGATAAATTTTCAAATTATTAAATCTTAAAATTCTGTACTTAAACTAATAAACTAATAAGTTATCACAATTAAGTACCAAAAAAAAATAAGTTATCACAATTTGTTAATAACATTGGAGGGAGATTTGGGCGGGTTAGGAAAATTTGGGCCTTAATATTTTGGGTTTATGGAGGGAGATTAAAATATTCACAAGGTGGGAAACCTAATTATGTTGTCTATGTTTCTCGTCACATATATTTTGTCTAAGTGTTTTATATCATTCACTAACCTAAACTTCCTTCTCTCGTCTAAAGATACACCACCGCCGAACTCATTCGTTCCCTTTCTCATCTCTTCTGTCCTCCATCCTCCGCCGTTTAAGGTCCAATTCCTCCTCCCTCTTCTCATCCTCTTCTTGTACTTCTCATCCTTTTGGGCTTAAAATTAAACTCTTCTCATGTCTCAGGTAAAGCTTCGCTGCAACACCCGACTTCCAGTCCTAGAACAACCGCCGGACCTCATTTGTCTACTTTCTCGTCTCCTCCGTTCTCCATCCTCCATCTCCTCCGCCATCTAAGGTCCAATTCCTCCTCCCTTTTCTCATTCTCTTCTTGTACTTCTCATCCTTTTGGGCTCAAAATTAAGCGCTTCTCATGTCTCAAAATTAAACTCTTTCAAAATTAATCACACACCAATCTTCCAGTCCTAGAATCATTGTTGGTCCTAAATCTGTTTTGAGTTCTAAATAATCACCATTAACCCTAGATTTGATGTATAGTCTCGTATATTTTTGGGGGTTTTGTTTGTATGTGTTTTAATTGATTAAATTAAGGTTTTATATGTTGTATTCTAAGCCCAAAATCATCACATGAACGATTTGTATATTTGTCTTCCTTACTCTCTATATATTTGCTAAGTATAAATGGTTGCTTCTAGGCTAAATTGGCTCATCTATAGACTGGTTTTTCATGATTTAAGTTGTAGTGTAGATTACTAAGTGCAAGCTTGGCTCAGTTATAGGAGTGTTATATTTTCATGATTACTAAGTTCAATTCTAATTGTTAGTCCATTTTTGTCATGTTTAAGTTGCAGCATTTATTTGCCTAGACTTGTAAACTGGTTTTTCTAGCATAAACTGGATTTTCCATGATTGTAGTCTTGAATTGTATGTGTTTTGATTAATTATCTTCTTTAACTCTAACCTTTTAACTCCTTCTGCAGATGACACAACAACAGACAAAGCGACGTCGGACAAACATGAGAGCAGAATCATCTCATCAACAGCCCGCTTTCAGCCACTCTTGCCCGATGATATGGCGATGCTCAAGAATGATGTGATGATGCTCAAGGATGACTTGCACAAGGTCAGCGATTGGGCAGCGGCAATGCAAGCTTCTCAAAATGTGATTCTAAGGTATTGATCCCCTAACTCACCAACCGATCAGACCCACCACAACTCCTGTCACGGTTAGTCACTCAGTCCCGTGTCTGTCTCCTCTACAACCTCATGACAATAACGAAGATTGATATGATTATGTTACTCATGTCCATGGCAACACAAGACTTATGCTTCTGTGCTACATCTCTTTATTTTGGTGTGTTGTGTATTAAGAACATGACTGATGTGTATTTCATTTTGTATTTTGTTATGTCGTTGACTAAGAACATGACTTGTGTCTTTTTGTAAACCAAAAATATTTAGATCATATTTATGTTTGATTAAAGTTTTAATTTGTTGTTGTTTATTTCCAAATTGAGGTTAAACTGATTTTTATTTTTAAATTGAGCTTAACAAAATAACCCACGGATAACCACAAAGAAATCAGTGGTTTGTTTAATTACCACGGAAAAGCCACGACAGTTTTGTGGCAAAAATAACCACGGAAAAGCCATGACGTGTTTGTGACTATTTACCCACAAGATATGTTGTGACTTTTTCGTGGTTAAATAGTCACGAATACTTTCGTGGTAATTCGTAGCTAACTTTGCCATGGAAAACCACGGAAAATTCACAGCCACGACGCTATACCCACGGATTTCGTCCGTGGCAATTCGTGGGTACGAAGGCTTATAGCCACGGATTCTAGGTTACAGCCACGATAACTGCCGTGGCTTATATAAGCACCTTCGAGATACCTCTCTAAGCCATTGTACGTTGCAAGGCAAGTACGAAGCTTGGTCTTTGTTAAAGGGTTATTTGCTCTGGGAAGAAAACTATCTCTGATTAGAGCAGACGTGATTTTGGAGATGTACAATGCATTGAACGCTGCGATTTTTGTTATGGTCGTGATTTCCGCATGGGGTTTATCGAGTTTAGAGATGATTGACCGCTCACAATAATACGCGTTCACGGTGTTGAGGCATATTCCGTCGATTAGAATCATTGTTGGTGCATCTGGTGAGATCGATGTTATTGATGGGATTGTATGGAGAATGATCAAAGATGTGATTATCATGGAGATTTGCTTAAGAAAAGCCATATTGGTTCTTGATGATGTAATTCTTAAGAGAAGAGAAAAGAAACACTTATATATATAAAATTTAGTTTTTTTTTTTTTCCTCTCGTTCGTCCTGTTAGTATCATTTTCTATAAAAAGCATTCTTAGTCGTACTTTTTGAGGATTTGCAATTTAAGTTTGTAAATACTTTTAACGAAATTTGACTAGATCGGCCATTGCCCATTGGTCATAGTTTTTGTTATATTTATCGCCCTTGGTTTTCTTTAATTAGAAAGTTATCGTATTTTTACTATCTAAAAGTTAAGTATTTGTACATTTCTTGTTTCTTGCATGAAGAGTTACGTGTACAACGGAAATCCTAGGCGAAAGGATATACAATTGCGTCCACAATAATTGCGTACAAAGTTAAGTAACAAACATTGTTAAAATTAAATTATGTATTTTTGCTAATAATTTTTTTAAAAATTTACAAAATGTTTACAAGATTCGCTTGATAATAATATGTTACCAGAGAAAAAAAAAAAAAAAAAAAAAAAAAAAAATATGTTACCAGAGATCCTATTTTAAGTAGCAAACACACTCATTATTGATGTCGAAAAAAAAATGTAGCGGTGGTTTTTTGTCTTCATTAATCACTACAATTTGTAGATTCCAAACGTCAATTTCCATTTCCAAATTCGTCTTCATCAATCTCCGATCTTCCTCGTCCGGGTTACAATCTAATTGTAAGTTTCATTTGATTCTAAGAGCGTCGAAACTTTTGGTCCCAAATCCCGACCTGTTGAGGCTCTCTTCTGTATTGAGGTAACTTGGGAAGCAAGACAATGAGCCAAGCGCGTGAAGCCCATGAAGCCCGTGAAGCCGAAGTTAAATAATATTTTAGATATCCTATTGAGATAAGGATTAAGAGGGTTGTGTTATAAACCATATGGATGGACTCCATAACCGGCCCATGGCCCATTAGAGTTTTACCTTATTCTCTGTATCCTGCTATTATCCTTGTATATATATCCCTTATTCTATTAATGAAAGACACAGTTCACAACACGTTATCAGCACGATAGCCTCTTACCCTAAAAAAATTAAAAAATCCCGAAACCCTAAATCTCTCTCACAAAAACCAAAACCAAAACCCTAGCCGTCTCTGTAAAACAAAATTCTAAACTCTATCGAGATAAGTTTTCTGTTCATATTTGTTTCTGCACGAATTTTGCACGGATTATCTGTTATCAATTCTGTCTGTATTCCTGCACGAATTTTGCACAGATGATCTGTTATCTATTCTGTCTGTAGTTTTGCACGAATTTTGCACAGATTATATGTTATCAATTTTGTCTGTATTTCTGCAAGAATTTTGCACGGATTATTTGTTTTCAATTCTGTCTGTAGTTTTGCACGAATTTTGCACGGATTATATGTTATCAATTTTGTCTGTATTTCTACACGAATTTTGCACAGATTATCTGTTGTCAATTCTGTCTGCAGATTTGCACAAATTTTGCACGGATTATTTATTATCAATCCTGTTTATATTTTTGTACGATTTATGCACGGATTATATGTTATTGATTCTGAACTGTTTTATGCAGTATATTACAGAAACCCTATTTTTTTTTTTTACTAATGTAATAGCCATGTTTCCATGAGCAAAATTTTGAGTTTCTAAGGAATCAGGATTATATATATTGTGATTTTGTAGGAGGACCCAACCAGCTAAGAGACATAACGTTTTCCAATCTCCGTATCAGATCTCGGGTCTCTGTTTCAATTCTCCAATTAAGATAAGTGCTATTTATTTATTATGCTTTATATACATGATCCAATTAAAGTTTGATAAGATAAAATTTGCATGAAAATTGGCACATGTGATTTGATTTATGATTGGAGAATTAATTGAGAAGTTAGTGAATGGAAAGATATTTAATGGCATGATAGATTGAATGTTTTAATATAAACCCTAGGTTAAACCGAAAGTAAACCGAAACCCTAAATCCTAGGTTAAACCGGTTTAATAAACCCTAAGTCACGGTTTAAGATCAAGTTTCCCATAAATAGAAAGTTCCATATAAGGAAAGTTTCCAGAAATAGAAAGTTTTGTAAAATAGCAAGTTTCCCAAAATAAAAGGTTCCCTAAAATAGCAAGTTTCCCAAAATAGAAAGTTACCAAAATAGGGAACCCCTTCATAAGGAAATATTCCAAAACCCTAAAGTACACGTTTGTTTAGGATTTCTTTCTAGATGAGAAATAGAAAGTTTCCATAAATGGAAAGTTCCATATAAGGAAAGATTCCATAAATAGAAAGTTCCATACATAAATCCGAAATCCTAGCAAAAAAAAAAAAAAAAACCCTAGTACTATAAATCGCGGATGCTAAAACCCTAAAACTGAACCGTGAAATCCTAATATCCTAATCTAGTATGATCCCATTGTTTGGTTGTTGCATACTAGATCAATCTTCTAGGGTTGATTTCATCCATATATATATAACATGATTGTTTAGAAAACACTTGTTGAAGACAAGCATGGCTCGGTCTTAAATAACGCATGACTTGGTCTAACCGATTACATGAGTTCTCATTTAACTCTATATATTATAGATATCAGAAATCAACTATTATGAATATGCGGCACTCAATGCCTCTGGTGACAATTATTTAAAATGGGCTTTGGACACTGAGATTGTCCTAAAGGAAAAATGGCTTTGTGAATCTATTGTAGAAGGAAACAATGTCACCAGAAGAGAAAGATATAAGGCGATTACTGACATACGCCATCACCTCAATGAGAGTCTCAAAATCAGTACCTCTCTATTAAGAATCCTCTGGACCTCAGGACAGAGTTGAAAAAAAAAAAAAAAAAAAAAAAAAAAAAATATCAATATAACCACCAAAGAACGGTGCTATTACCCAAAAGCCCGATTCGATCGGGAGAATCTCAGATTCCAGGAATTCAAATCCATGAATGAGTATAACTCAGCACTATTTAAAATAGTGTCAATACTGAGATTCCGTGGTGAGGAAGTTACTGAGAATGACTTGCTAGAGAAAGCATTCTCGACCTTTCACACAAACAATATATTGCCTCAGCAACAATATCGTGAAAAAGGTTTTTACCACATATGCAAGTCTAAACTCTTGTTTTTGGGGAGGACTCCTCTGTAGAGAGTGCTAAGGAGTGAGGCTTTGGAGAAACCGTGATGAGAACATTGATTCTGATATGCTACTTGCTGAGCAAAACAATGAGTTATAAATAGTGAAATGAGACCTCCTGGTCCTACCCCATTATCAGAAGCCCGTTGGGCTGAAGAGCCTAAAGAGCCTAAAGAGCCTAAAGAGACTAAAGAGTCTAACCACGTCCAAAGAGATAAGTATCATGGCCACAGTCATGGTAAATGGAATGGACGTGGTAGAAGTGGAAATTAAAATTTATATGATCAAGGAAACCATTCATATGGTTAAGGCCACCGACCCGACTTTGGTCGTAATCGAGGTAGGCCACGGTATACCCAAACCACAACACTCAAATAAACTTGTTTGCCACTGATGAGGAATGGGGAAACCATTGGACTAAGACGTGCATGACACCTAAGCATCTCGTTGATCTCTATCAAGAGAGTTTGAAAAGAATCAAGAAGCTCATTTAGTTCATCACGATGGTGAAGAAGATTTCGACCATGAGATAGATGATTATGAGAATTCAATAAACGAAATATCTAAAGACATGGTTCATTAGCCAAATTGCGGGTATAGCTAAATTTAGTGAAGGCTAAGGGTAGGCCCATGGCAGGCCCATATTCCCAAGGGCACGCATCCTCAGATGCTTCATATTCACCCAGCTCAAAGGGGCTTGTTGAGTTTCAAAGAAATGTGTTTGAATAGTTTCCACATTGAAACTAAGGGTGAAGGGAACAAAGGATTCCCATATATTACTAAGAGCATCCAAGACCATGAGAAGGTCTTACAGACTATACCCGCGTCATATATCTTTACTATGCCAAGGTCAATATGATAAAGGCTAATAAAGTAAACAAAAGGGTTTACTGAGAAATTCACTAATGGCATGACCGGCTTGGCCAGTCCGGTTCGAATATGATGCGTAAATTAATTCAAAGTTCTAAAGGGCACACCCTTAAAGAAAACCGAGTTTTCCCTAAGCATCACACGTGCATAGCCTGTTCACAAGGGAAGCTTATCACTCGACCTTCACCAGTCAAAGTGTCTAAAGAGACCTTACATTTTCTGGAACGAATTCAAGGAGACATATGTGGTCCGAT